TGGGACCTTCCGGTTTGATGACAACCTCGGGACCCTACGGTCTGGCGACGATGTCCAGTTTCTTAGGAGAATGGCGGTCTGGACGGCCTATTAGCTCAAGTGCCGTATCTAGGAAGAACTGAATCCCTTAATTATGGAAAGTGTATATCATTGGGGATTCTAAAGATTTGAGAACATTTGGTTAGCTTAGAAGGATGATTCAAGAAGACTGCTTACCATAAATTTGTAGTGTTTTTGCCGAGGACGATCGTAAAGACCAACCTCGGGTTGTCTCTCGAAGGAAGGTTGTTCAGACACGGATTCAAGCAATGATTGACTCACACAATGGAAAAATAAAGGTCCTAAACACTCTACTTGTAATTTGGAGGGTGAATTAAGCTAAAGATCACTACTTTAGTGCTACAACGATAGCAAGATTCAAAGTTTAATGCAAGCAAGACCTCAAATTTCAATAAAAGGAAAAATAAAGAGAAAAAGAACTAAGAACACTAAGACCCGAGGTAGAAAGAAGGCACTCATAGTTTCAAAAATATATAATCAAGCAATCGTCACTCGCGAATCAACTAATCAAATTATCAGTTTAATTCTCGCTCATGCAATCAACCACAAAATCATAGCCTACAAGGATGATAGCATATTCTACTCATGAAAACTTCTACCTTTACCCTAAAAAACTAATAAGTAAAGACAAGAAAAACTTACGAGATCTTGGACCTTAAATTAAGTCTCCAAGTCTCTAGTTGCATCCACGAGAAGAACTAAGTTGGAAAGTTTCAATCTTGATGGATAATATTACAATAAAAATTTGGGTCTTGTAAAAGTTAGAGAGAGAAAGAAAATAGAGAGAGAGAGAGAGAGAGAGAGAGAGAGAGAGAGAGAGAGAAGAGAAAATTTTGCAATTGAGAATTCTTCCTAAAATAAAAGGGTCTAATTCCATTTATACTACTAGCTAAAACATACACAGAAAGACACACATTAAATGAGAAACCCTTGCAGGCTTTAGGGAATTCGCGGGCAGTTTTCACGGGCAAAGATTGAACTCGTGGCCTGGGCATGAACTCACAAGATAGGATGAAACTCACGGGGCAAGGCTTGGAAATTAGCGGGGCACGAAGCTGTAGCTTGATAGGGAAATGATGCAACACTCGTGAGCTGTGAGAACTTTTCACGGGTGCAAACTGACAAAGGCGACTCGCGTGCTTGCGGGTCTCTCGACTGTTTGCAGATCGTCTCGGCAACGACAGTGATAGGTAGAGATTCTCTCGGCAACCATTGAGTATTTGGAGAATTATGATATGGTTTTTCGATGAAAATTGCTTGTTGTATGAGGAAAGTTGCTTGGATCGCGAGCTTTACGAGAGATCTGGTAGGCGAGCTGCGTGCGGGCGTCGGCATGCACTAGATGGGTCTTGACCACGGCGGTGATCAGTGAAGATTCCCACGGCCAATCTTAAGTTTTTTGTGAGTTTTATATATATTTTGTTGAGGAAAACTTCATGGTGTACAAGGACAAATTCCTGGGTCTCGAGATACGCGTGGGAGATGCACGCGAGCCGCGGGGCGCGCTCGGGCTGTCGGCGAGCGGCTGCGTGCGGGTGTGTCGGGTGACGTCGAGCGTACTTGGAGCGCATTTTCCTACAAAATAAAAGATAAAAAGAGAAATAAAAAGCACAAGACACCAAAACGACATGAAAACAAAATAAAAAGAGCTAAAACAACTAAATGGATCGGGAGAAACATAAAATACACTAAAAAGAACATGAATAAAATGCTAAAAAACACACAAAATAATAACAAAAAACATACAAAACATCATACCAAGAGTCCCTTGAACAGCACACAACCCTGAAAATAAAAGGGGATACATGTTATTATTTTTACACAACACTTATACACACGCAAAATATACTATTGCCATATTATTAAACACAAACTGACTTGAGCGTCGGAGCCTTTTCTGTCGAGACCCCTCCCGGCGTTTTGCAGGTCATCGTAGACGTCAAAGCGGTTCAAATCAACGAATTGTGGTTCAAACTGGACCAGAGGGCAAACTATACAACAGAATACATAACAATTTTTTGAATGATCATCAATATCTTATGGCAAGTTATTATGGGAATATGCTAAAATTTAAAAATCATATTACCTTGAGTTTACAACAAACTAAAAATCATACCACTTATTATGTTTTCAAAATTTTCAAATAGACTTCTATCCATACCAAATAAAATTCGTAACATTAAAATTCGGATATTTCATATGAAAATAAATATGCCCACTTAGTACCATAATTTTGGACATTTATTAATAACAACACATTTTCTATCAAAAACAAAATTGGTTATCAGATATCTCAAATAAAATCACCCGCTTCATACCAATATCATGTTTTTTTTTTTTATTTTTGTCAACTTCATAACACAAATTGATTAATTAGTTTCTAGCAGTAATATTTTTTGAAAATATTCAAAGATTACCAAGTTTAGTAACTTTAAAACTTTTAGGCGGGATTTTAGTTTCAATTTCAATTAAATATAAACTTCTTATATATATATACTAGTACAAACGATGCACAGGTAAGGGATATTCATTAATATTTATAAATTAAAAATACTCATTAAATAATATCTATAAGTTAAAAAGAGAATCAATATGTAATAAATTTATCTATATTAATTATGTCAAATGTTATGTGAAATTTAAAATTATTCAAAACTACGTAAATCATGTCCATATAAAATAGGTACACAACCAGTACGGTGCACATAAGTGATAATAAATTACATTATATTAATTGAAAAATAAGTGCCAATTAAAAAGATTTATTCACAAATTCGATTTGACTACAATATGATTCCAAAAAATAATTATATTTGTAATATTTAATCATATATTTAAAAATCAATGTAAATATTAAGTTTAATTATAAAACTTATATTCTTTAATTAATTATAAGTAATTTATTTTTGTATAAACTATCGAAATAAAAAATTAAGAAGTTGAGTAATTTATTAAACTCTAGATAATTGACTATTCCATTTACGTATAAGTTAATATTGACCCGTAAGTTGTGAATAATTACTTATTTGACTTTTAACTTTGAAACCCAAATTTGGACTACAAAATATATTCCCTTATATATTATAAATATATATGCATATTATCGAGCAACTTTTTAGATTTATTGTCGGTTACAACGAGAATGTAACAACGATAATGAACGGTATTCTCTACGAAATACTCAGTTCAACTAGACCGAATAGAAAGTTTATAGACGAATCGAAGCTATGCTCGTAATTGTATGTGCATTATTTCACTGAGAAATATACTCTCTCCTTATTAAATGCTGCCTCTTTTCATTCTGTAGGAAATATGAAGCCTTGTTTACAATCCTTTTTTGGATTTTCATATTTTAATTTTGTTTTCTAGATATTTTTGAGATATTGTGGCACATCAACATTAAATGTCTGGTACTTTTTGTGTAGAATCCCAATATGGATGATGCCTCTCGCTTCTGACGCGTGTCCCAACAGGCTAAGCACCTTGGGATCACGAACTCTCGTATCCCATCACCTGCCTTTGAATATCGTATGGATGATCTATTGATATGGTTCGTATAAACTGAGGATTCGTACACGCTTCATGTCATCCTACTCATGTCCGTTTAAGCCGTTTAGATGATGATGTTGATTCATACCCGGTTCATAATTTTGGGTCGTTATATGTTTTCAATCCCCCTCCAATATTAGATCGTATAAATTGATATCGGTTCGGTTCGCACTCCTGTACCCAGATCCCCGGTTCGGTCGGTACATCCCAAACCAAGCTCAGGGGTATCGAGTGGAGCCGTCTAAATAAATGGAGCACGAATGAACCACTTTGTAAATAAAAAGTGTTCGTCATAAATATTGCATAGGAAAGGTGGATAAGTTTTTGTGTGGGACACAGTCTGTGAAAAGGCGCGTCCCTTTAATTCTGCCGACAAACTGTTGCGATTCTGTGGAACGTTGTGCCATCTCACAAGTCGTGGGGTGTTTAATGCGTGGGAGACGCTACACCTTATGACACCGATTGAAACTTCAATCATTAGACCCCTTTAATGTTTAAGAAAAAACTATAAATATCGAAGCCTCCCCCCTTCC